GTAAATTTCTATTTAAAGTTTTATGTTATGAAATATTAAAATAATTACCAACAAAGCTATTACTAGTAATTAAATCTTCATTATTTTTATTTCAATTTACAAAAATAGACAAAAGAAAGTTTAAAATAGCATTTTCTTGAGAATAGCTGGTAGGATTTCCTCCAATATCTGAAAATATATATAATATCAAAGGATAAAAACAAAGAAAAAAAAGAAATTGAACAAAATTGAAAAACTGTCCAAAATATCACACATCACAAAACTTTTGGTGTGAAAGATCCAAATATCTGGGTACTGTTCTTCAAATAAGGTCTACTAATTGTTGCACAAGTGTTGACAAAGATGTCAAGCCAGGGCATTGAAAAAAGTTCATATTGTATTGTTTTTCAAGTGAATTTAAGCGAAAACCATCACGTTTCCAGTCAAAGACTAAGACATGTATTTAGTGAATTCATAGTTTAGAGAAGGGTAGATTTACTTACCGTTTTTATCCAGCTTGCATGAGTTATCCAGTGCTAAATATAACATGACATGTAAACATAGTAAATTGCCAAAAACGGGTAAAAGAAATTTCTGTAAACAAATTCACACTTCGTTTCAAAGATGCACGTTTTCCATACAAACAGATGATAATCAATGTTGATCAAACGTTTGAGTCATAAAAAATTTCACTTGTTGTCAAAACGTTTTGGTGATTTCATGAAGAGTTTAAATTTCACCGGGTATAACCACACATTCGGGTGTATACAAATCATGAACAAGATACAAGAAATTTATTATTTGGCTTAATTCAATTAGGAAGTTTAATTTTAACAGTTTTGGGGGTTTATTTAAGATCATATATCTTGATTACTTCAGGATCCGATCTTATCTAAATTTCCTTGTGTAATTATCTCTGATTCACTGAACTTAGACAGGTTTTTCTTTCCACATATCTTGATTATTTCGAGATCGGCTATTTATTGGGATTAATTTAATATTGTGATAATAATTGTTAATCAAAGTACTGAAAGTACTGATAGACGGAGGCTTGGAATGAACATGATTGTTTGTCTCTTTGGGAATTTTTTATTCATATTCTGACCCCAACATTTGCCTAAGGGTAGTTGGCCATATCTTTTGAAAAGTAGATACCAGGACATTAATACTTCATATATCTTTTTTTTTATGGAAAGACTTTTCATTGGATATTAACAAACTTGACCTTTTGACCTTGACCTTCGATATTCTATACTTATGAAAAAACTTTAACCTTGGCCATGACTTTTGAATGGTAAGGGATATATGGGGGGGGGGGGGGGGGCAACAGTGTTTCACAAACACATCTTCTTCATTTATGTTACCGTGGTCTAATGTTTAATTATGTAATTTACTGAATTCCTATTTTTCATCAAAAGGACAAACCAATCTAATTGCAATAAACTATATCAATTTCAATTCTTTAGTGACTCGTGGTAAGAGCTTCCTGAAATGTGAGAAAGCCAAAAAGTACTTTAGTATCTCTAACTCTTCAGGACTAAAAGGAGCTGAGATACAAGCATTCAGATATAACAATGCATAGATCTACATGCACATTCAACTTTTAATTAATAGTTCTGTTGTGTTGGGTATGAACATAAAGAAGATCCAAATATTTCCAACATATATATCATTTTTGCAGATCTTGAAATGTACTGCTCTACAGGTATTTGTTGTCCAGTGCGCATTAATCCTGACTTCCAAATTCTTACTTGACTGGTGATACCTTTAGAAACATTTGCATCTAGGTGAAAGTTGACTCCGCAAAATATGCCATCCCATTGTTCAAGTTTCATAAAGTGATTACACCGCCTTGACTAGATATTGTGGATTCAACGATACCCTAATATCCAGTATTATATGCGATTTTACGGATAATACCCATTTTCGTTGAAAATCCTTCCCGTTTCAGAGGCGGATCCAGCCACTCTTGAAAGAGGGGTTCCAGGGTTGTACTATCCATATACCCCCCACCCCCCCTACACACTCTCAAGCAAAGATTCACACACACGTATGGAAGATCTTAGGTTTCGGTAAATAATATCTGTTTACGTCCATTTATTTCTTTGGTCCCCCAGTCCGAATTTAAAGAATAAATAAAAAAAACTGCTGAAGCCTTAATTAAAATTGAATGGATTTGCAGCATTTCCAAAGAGTACAAAGAATTTTCTTTTGGAGTTTGAAAAAACAAAATCCGTGGTGGATGCAGGTTGGGTTTAAAACAAAGAGTTGCATGTTAGTTCCTTCAAATGATATGATTAAAACGGTTCATATAATATAGAACCGTTTTAATCATATCATTTGAAAGAAAAGTGAAAAGTGAGTGAAAATTAATGTGTGAGAATCTATCTATTCAATACATAAGTTAGACGTACAAATATATGTATTTTTATTTATTCTCGGAAAACGTTTCATTCTCTCTCTCTCTCCACTAGACAGAAAATAAAGTGGGCTTCAAATTCCCAGACCCCCCCCCTCCCTTGGATCCGCCAATGAACCGTTTACAAGCATTCACCCATCCTTGACACTTTTTCAATATCTCTCCAAGGTTTGGGAAATCTAATAAATTCAACTCCTTGCATATATTTTTTGTGGGCATACTTTGAGTCACTATTGCAGATTCCATGACAACAGTGTTTTATTGCATCCTTTTTTGCACAGGTTAGCCATAATATTACTAAATTTACACCACAAAGTAAGATTCAAGCCACTGTTTTGGTTTTGGTCATGTAAACATAGAAACATGTGGGTCAGTTTGTCCCATCTAACTTCTGAAACATGTGATAAGGAATTCTAAAAATAGATGCAGCAGAGCTATAAACAGACAAGCCGCAGCTCTCTGCTGAGTCAGTGAGTGAACATTTAAAATGTCAGTTTCAATGAAACAATGATGCAGATTTCTTCTATCTAGGTAATGTAGGGTATTAATGTGATAGGACCTTCGCAAACTAATTAAAATCCCCCAGGTGAGGTGAAAGATGTGAGATAATTATAGGTCCATGAGAAAAAAAAGAATTATGTATTGTATGTGGAAAATATTGTGACCGAATTAGATTAATTGCATCAAAAGCAGATGCAGAGAACTGCACTCGGTGATCTGTTTTGGTTTCCCCGACAATTTAAATTCTATGTCAGCAATTTGCAGAGAACTGCACTCGGTGATCTGTTTTGGTTTCCCGACAATTATCAGCCAATGAGCGTGTCAGCAGCGGACTCTAAACATTACTGATCACCTGTCTGATACAGCACATATCCGATATCAGACAGGCAGGCCAGTTTATCAAAGTTTAGCCTGGTTCCCTGTCCCTGTTTTGCTTCATGTACTCTAGTCTCGTTCAACCAGACGCTCGGCTGTCTCCGTGAACTCCGACCAGCAGAGAGTCTGGTAAAGAATCACGTAAGCGTTTGTAACCGTCAGAGGGCGCTATCTTGTTTTCATTTTAAAAATCCTTTTTGTAATCAAACGTTCAAGACGTTTCTTCTGCTTGATTGTGACTTTATATTGATAAACTGGTCTTTAATTAGGGAAACCAAACGAGAAATTACAATGTCAATCGAAGGAATGTGTATTACGCAGGTAGATCTACACTACTTTCACTTTTGCTTTCGTACAGAATATTTGCAAGACATAATAAAACACACTTACCTATAACTGGTGGGCATTACCGTAAACAATTCCTCTCTAACGGTTTTAACTTTTACACATATAACTTTCACAACTTTAACTTATTTCTCTGTTGATTTATCATGTATTTGTTTAAATCTTGTAGGTGTGTTCTTTTCAGCCAATCAAAAACTTTACCAGAATTTCGGTAAGCCTCGTTTTGGCGTTACAAACGATATCACGTATCTTTACCAGACCCTCTGGGTGGTCGGAGATTTACGGAGACAGCCGAGGGTCTGGTTGAACGAGACTGCATGTACTCCTGCCTTGGAAAGGATGAGCCGGGGGACCAAGCTAATCAAAGTTAACGTGATTAGCCGCTAGATGGCGATCGCAAATTCCCTTCCGCCGCAGCTGAGCGGTACCAATAGAGCGGAGGCTAAGCCTCCGTCTAAAAAGGGTGGTTAAAAGGTCTGAATATATAATTTTTAAATGAATTGTTCATGTTGTTCATGCTGATTTTGCAGACTCAATAAATTATAAAACTTTAATTAATTATACGTTAGAGTTGTTTACTGGTGTCTATGGGGAGTTATTACCCCTTCTTCTAGAACCACAATTCCTCTGCATTTTTTTTTTTTGGTGTCAGAAGTGGGATAGCCATTGAGCGCTATTCCGCTACATTTTTCTTGGTGTCAGAAGTGGGAAAGCCATTGAGTGCTTTTCCGCTACACCTTACTGATTAGCCTTTTTGAGAGATAAAATTTTAATTCGCATTAGTTTACTTCGCTTTACATGTAACTGTCGTGTGAACGCAATTCAATTCGCATTATTTTAATTTGTATTAGTTGTCTTCGAATTAATTTACTGCGAATTAAATTCTCAGTGTGAACAGGACAGTAGTCTTGGTATTAAACACTACAATAATTCCTTTTTAAATAGGAAACTGCATAAGATTAACTCATTATGAAAAAGATTTTAACAAATTACTAAAATATACTGAAAACAATTATTTGGATTGGGAGTGTTTTAGGACGAAGAAAGATTTTATTATCAGTAAATTACTCTAAGAGTGTCTTCATCATATATGAAAGAAATATTCTGGGCAAAATAAGTTAGGGATCATATTTTTACACAAGAATAATATTTTCATACCCATGAATTTATGTGACAACAAGGCTTAAGAAGTTTTAAAAACATGTCATTAACAGGATTCGATACTTAAGTCACCCGTGTTTAATGAGTTTTGAGACATATTGGTCAAGAAAGTTAAAAAAGCAAGTGGAACAATGGAAACATAGAAGTATCAAAGAGGGTTTTCTTTAGTGAACATGAGAAAAATTTCAGTATATCTGGCCAGAATTGGTGATAAAACGCTATGAGGAAGCATATGAGTGTGGACGAACACTCCATGGTAGCAGGGATGCTGGAAGCTGGCAAAACGCAACGTCCCGTTGCAGAAAGGCTTTATCTTTCCCAAAGCGGAATTAACGATTATGGAACCGATATTTACAGGCAGAAAATCGTCAAAAAAGGCTAGAATCGGGACGTCCAAGGTGTACGGCAGTCCGTGAAGATCGTTATTTGGCCAATTTTGCAGAGAACACCGCTTCCAAGGTACTCTTAAGCTTAATACTGGCTGGGTATCGGAGAGCAACGGACAGAGACTTCAGGAAACAAATTTCAAGGCTTGCCGACTAACCGTAGGTCCTATATTAAAATTAAGAGTGTCGCAGAAATCGACTACAGTGCGCAACAGGACAAAAAAAATTTGGCAATAACGTCATTGGTGTTCTGTTCTCTTCTCGACGAGTCACGGTTTTGTTTTGACTTCCATGATGACAGAAGACTTGTTTGGATTGCAAATAGGAAAATATATGCTGAATGTGTCATTTCTGAGCAATGCAGAGTAAATGGAGGTTTGATGTTGATTTGGGCAGGCATAAGTATTGACTGCAAAATGATCTGCACATTGTTGAAGGCAACCTGACAGTTTAAAATACCGGAATGATATTCTTCATCCTATTGTTAGACGTACTGCATATACTCTGGGGGAGGATTTCATCTTAATGGACGATAATGCTCGACCTCATAGAGTCCGAATCGTAAACGAGTACATGGAAAGTGAAACAACCTAGCGTATGGACCCACAAAGTCGTTTTCTAGACCTGAAGTTAATTGAACATGCCTGGAACATTCTTTAGCAACGTATTTCAGTTCGTCTTACACTTCCCCAAATTCAACGGGAGCTTCAGACAGCATTGTGGGGGAACGGCAACAGATCCCTCAAGCTTGGACGGCTGATGGGCAGCATGGGTCTGCGCTGCAGGGCCTCGCGAGGAGGCCATACAAAACACTGGCAATCATTTTAGTGACGTAATTTGACTCTTCTGAAAAAAATCTCATTTTCAGGTCTACCCCCAACATGCCGAATTCTAAAGTGAACGTAATGAACAATTCGTAGCGTGTATTCAAACACATTTATCACATCAAATGTTTAATTTTCACTTTATAGATACAAAACATGATGCTAAAATTAAAACTGCATTCTGTTTTCTATGATACAGTTTTTGTAAAACATATTTAATTTAATGACCCTTAACTTTTTTTTGTCCAGTATATATTCTAATTAAAAGTATTTTTCAAATGCTAAACAATTATAACAAAGTATAGGTTGTCGGTTGATTATATAGTGTTTGTGTTGGAGGAATGATCGCAAGATTTAAGCATTGATATTTGGTTTTTTATTATGTAGCTTCACCTTCACCTTCAGTATCACAAGCAACAACAGAGAATAAAAACCAGAAAACAAGTTCAATAACAGCAGGTAATAAGTGATATATTTGTCATTTTATGGATAATGTTATAGCGAAATAGTGTGAAAAAGCCATGATGATTAGAAAACATCACCCGTTAAAATATGTTTTCATATTCCTGAGAGAGAGAGAGAGAGAGAGGGATACAGAAAAGATAAGAAAAATAAGGAAGTTCAGACGTAAGATGCATGTACTATTAATCCCTTTGACTTTATTTTGGCAATATTAATCGTCTGATGTATGTACAAACTGTGGATTTAGATGTTGTTCTTAATTTATTTTGAGTCATTTTGATCAATTGATTTTGTTAAAGACTAAAAACAAACTTGCGTTTCTGTATTTAAAAAAAATGATTTTTTTTCTCAAGGAAACCAATTTATTATTGTCAATGCATATCGTATTGATAACTGAGTAAACATTGTGAAAAGGAAAATACAAACCATATCAAATTTATCCTCAATAGTTCCAACTGAACTTCATTATTCAATAAAGTAAAAGAAAATGAGAAAAGTTTATGAATGAGATTGAAATGGAAATGTTTTTGTTTTTTTACAAATACTTCTATTTCAATTCCTCTCTATATCCATTTTATCTTAAAATGATAACATCTTTTGCATTTGCAAACATCATAATTGTTCGTTAATTGATATTTCAAATAATTCAGGCGTCCACTCTCAAACTTCAGGTTTACCAAAATCATCGCTTGAGACAACGACCATATCATCAGGAGGTAATAAAAAAGTACATTATTCGTTGTTTTAGTCTTGGTATTAAACATTGCAATATTTTTTGTCTAAATACTAACATTGACATAGAAATTCACTATTCAATAAAAAGTTTTAAACAATTTACTAAATCAATTATTGGGTCAGAACTTAAAGGAAGAAGAAAGTATTTCACTACCAGTAAAATATTTTAAGGGTGTCTTTATCCTACAGGAAGCATATCTATTGTGATCAGTAATATTCTTCAACATACTAAAATGATAACAAAGTATGCATCGTCGGTTAGTTATGTTGTGTGTAAGCGTGTCGAAGTAATGAGCACAAAGTGTTTTCACAAAGATTGTTAGCATTGCATTGATATTTGGTAATTTTATTATGCAGATACACTTTCACCTCCAGTATCACAACCAGGAACAGAGAATCAAAACCAGAATGCAAGTACAGTTAACGGAGGTAATAAGTGATATAGTTATCATTATACATGTATCAAAATGGATAATATTATTCGAAGGAAAGTCATTTTTATCTACTGTTTTGAAAATAATATTGCTTGATTTCAATAAAGAAAAATTCTATTTAGAAATCAGATGGAGTAATTTTGCCCTTGATTTTGTTTGTCTGAAATAGTCCTTCAAACATTACTTGTGTTCATGTTTTACCACCCTTCAAGCAAAAAAAAAGGAAATTCTCCTGTAATTCCCAATTGTCAGAATGATGCAGGGTGGTGTAATTTCGACCACCTGGTTAATTTTGACCGTTCATAAGTACCTTAAAAAATTTTCGTTTATGGCGTATAATTGCGTATAAACATTTATACTATGCAACAAGATAACGTATTTTTGATATATTGTATCGATAATAATTTTATTTCCACAAGCGTTATTAAGATCGTTATTGGAAAATTGCATCCAAGAAAGGGCTTAATTACCCGAAAAATTACAAACGAGTGTATTTCTAGCCACCAGATCTACGTGCCGCGAATAATCCCCTCAGAAAAATCTTGTATGGAAAAGCAATCAATAGATATCCCTGGCATGACATTTATGAAAATGATTTTGAAAATGAAATTCATACCCTTTTAGTTCATAGTATTTAGTTTTTACAAATAAAACTAGTGCTAATTGTAACGGGAACCGTTACAGATGTTCCCCAAACGCTCCCCAACTCCCTTTTGGTGCCATATTCCCTGTAATCTCTATTAAATAAGAAATACTTTATGGAATTTAGACTTAATCAAGGTCTTCCCAGAAGAATACAAAATATATTTAAATTTAAGCATTGCACGCGTGTTCATGTGCGTAACGACCATATTATCTTGTCTACACTATCTATTTATTTTTATATACTTAATATCAAAGCATTCAATCCAAAAGTATTAAAAATTGCACTCACTCGAGTGTATTTTTAATTTAACTCATTTCACGTGCATGCATGTGCATGATGACTACACCTTCTTGTAGGAGTCCCTTATATTTATCTATGTTCTAAATCCCATCCTGTTTGGTTGAAAAACAAGGGAGTTATAGCCATTTGAAGTTTCAGCCAATCAGATTGCAGCACACATGCATGCACGTGATTTCATGAATTTTTATCTTTATCATATTAAAGGTTATCTTAATGAATGACTATATTTCAAAATTCCAAACATTTCGTCTAAAAACAAAGGAGATATAGCCATTTAAAGTTTCAGCCAATCAGATTGCAGCAAACGTGCATGCGCGTGACTTCATAATTTTTTTCTATAACATATTGTAGGATATCCTAATGCATGACTATGTTTTAAATTTCAAAGCATTTCATCCAAAAACAACGGAGATATAGCCATTTAATGTTTCAGCCAATCAGATTGCAGCACGCGCGCATGCGCAAGCTTTCATGAAAATTTTTATATATCATGCTGTAGATCTTTATGATGTAGGACTATGTTCAAAATTTCAAATGATTATGACAAGAAACAAGAAAGATATTGAGACTTTTGTTTCAGCCAATCAGAGCTAAGCGCACGTGCATGCGCGTGAGATCTTGCTATTTTGACCATGCCATCTTGTCTATACTACTACTATATCCTTACATTATGAGTTTCAAAACATTTCATCAAAAAATAGAAAAGTTACGGCAATATACATTATATTGGTCATTTCACGTGTTGCACGTGCGCGCTCTTGCAAGCACGTGCGCGCAAAATGACCTTCGTTTGGCAAATCTACATAACATGTCTACTGACCCTAAAAACATTTTACCTTAGTCCAATGTGTAGTTTACAAGATTACTCGTGGACAAAATTTTCCCAGGAAGAAGAAAAATAATAATAATAATAATAATAATAATAATAATAAGAAACAGAGTAAAAACAATATGTTCCCCAACTTCGTTTGGGGAACATAATTACAAATCAGCTGAACAGAAACCGACCAGTTATCCCTAAATGAATAAGGCGTCAGTGGGTAACTTCGACCAATGAAAAATGACGGAAAACTATCTGTTACCAGAAAGAAACCATGACCGTATGTAAAAAAAAAAATAAGTTGGATAAGTATTATTTACATTAATACTCGGTAGAAACTAGTTTTATAATAGTGAAAAATCATTTGTTTTGTTTACATGCGGTTGAGATGCCTGTACATGTACATTTGTAAAGCATGCCTTAATTAATTGCCAAATCGGCGTCATAGACACCTGGTGCACTCGATGTCTTCGAATTAGGTACATTTTGAAAATTGCCATTTTTTTGTCAGTATTTTACTTATTCTTTTATGCTGCACAGTAGAAAAATTTTAATTCATATTCTTTTTACTATATAATAGAGCTGACGCCAATTATTTCATTTATATTGGCTCATCGCTCGAAAATACTCAACATACATATCTTGTAAATCGAACGCATTTATTTCATTTTGTGACCAATAATACATATAAAATCAATGTAATCTGAAAGATAAAAGGTATTTCGAAGGAAAAAGGATCCAGTAAAAGTTGTAGCATAAAGTAACAGTAACATAATTTAACAAATCTGAAGTAAAAAAAATAATCGGTCGAAATTACACCACCCTACCCTAGTGAAATAGTCTGAAAAGTCATGATGAATAGAAAATACCACATGTTAAAATAAAAAGAATGATTATTTATCATATAAATGTTATTCTAAATTTAGTTCGAGCTGCTTTGATCACTTGTAACTCTTAAAAGACTGAGCACAAAGACATTCATCTGGTTTCAAAATATCAAACTGTATCATTTTCTTTTTTTAAATCAATTTATGGGAATCAAATACAAACACAATTTGCGTGACGTTTTGTACAAGGTGCATGTACAATGTAATCTTCAGCTACTCAGTAAATGAAAACAATATTTAGATAAAGAAATTAAGAAAGTAGAAAGTATTTTACTACCAGAAAGTTATTCTGAGAGTGCGTCATCAAACAGGACAGAAAAGAGTCTGTTATATTCTTCTTCAAAATAAGAAAACGATAGCAAATAGATTCGCCTATTATACTTCTCTTAAAATGTTTCCTATATAAAGTTTAGAAGGTAAAATAACTATTTATTATAGTCTACGCATATACGCATAGCAAACTATACCCCGGGGTATGGTTTTTGCTATCCACCTTCGGAACATTTCATTCAATTTTTGTCGCCAATTTTGATTTCCAGCGATAAATCTATTGACTGATGATGTAATCATGACTTCAGTAGCAATGTGACGTCATCATGTTTTTAGATTATTCTTGCAGTATTATCTTACTAAAAAAAATTCAAACCTCAAAATATTATATCATATATCAGTAAAGTGTATAATAAAACGCTTATCCACTGTTTGTGAGTGGGATAGCTCTTTCATCAAATCCTTGACAGGTACTATTCTCCTCGGGCAAGCCCTCGTGGAATAGTTCCCTGTCGTGAGTTTGATAAAAAAACTATCCCACTCACAGCCAGTGGAAAAGTGGTTATTTAATATCCATCTTCATCGACAAGAAAGAGATCGAATTATCTTAAAATTCATTTTTTTGTTAATGATATTTTTACCTTAATAATGCTGGGTTGCACAGTAAATAAGGAGCATTATCATTTAATCATAATTATCTATATCAATTCATTTGAAATCGTCCAAAAATGTTGAAAATATTTATCTACGTCCTGCATTGATAGCGATGATTTCTGCAGATGATAATTTGGAAATGTCGTTATTTCAATCACAGCAATCAAATGAATTTGTGATGAACAATATTCAGAGATATCTAAATTACTGTGATTATTTTTTTTTTTGTATTGCTCTTCATGAATGTACTCTCTGCGTTTATCAAAAAGATACACTGCAGATTTTGGAAAATTCTACCTAACCTCATCTCCTCACTAAAATACTGGCAAATGCGAATGAGAAAATACAGGAGTATTGAACAACAATGTAATGAAATGTGGTTTAAATCAGGTGTGGATACTTATAAATTCCGAGAAACATTTTGAAAATTTTAAATTACAGAGGATCAGAGAACTTAATAATTAATGAAAGTTTCGTCCCTATGCTTCCGAGGTTCCGAAGTTTCTTAACTTTTTCTATCTAGTTATTTCACAATGTCTTAAAGCTGAACACGATGCAAAAGAATGTGTCTGTCATTTTTGGTCGGACTCTCACTATATCTGAGGACCACTATATAAAAGGCCTGTTCAGTGTAATCATTCGATACCGGCCGTGTAGACTGTCGCATGCTATGCAGCAATTGGATGGTTTAGACAAAAATAATACACGGTACTATTTCTAAATGAGATATATAAACTCTATATGCAGGTGATATAGGTATATTGCTGCATAAGAAAGGGAAGTTGACGATAGAAAAGTTAAAAGTCGGCACGTTTATCACAGAGCTTGGTTGTTGGAATTCCATTAATGTTTTTTCAAGTAAAATATCCAAGTATGAAACTGATGTGTCAGACTCCGTGATATCTTTTATCTCAAGCTCCTCAGGATATATCGTATCGACATAGGAATGTAAATTACAATTGTTAATTGACAATACGTCGTCGATATATCTAAATGTCGAGTTGAAGGCCACAGCATGTGTTTTCTTCTTTTCACGCATAAGATTTTGCACAAATTCTGCTTCATATGAATACAAAAATAGGTCTGCTAAAAATCACACTTTACAACTCTAAGGAATGTGTCATTAAATTGTTTTGATAGAGACCTGGTTTGTTTTATTTCTCAAATGTAGGTTTCAATCCTATCAATATTGAAAAAATCTCTTTGTCACAGTAGCCTAGTGGTAAAGCGTTCGCTTTGATGTAGGGAGGCCCGTGTTCGACTCTCATTCACGGCGCCACGTCAGACCTACATGTAAGGCGTTAAAATAGTTAGTGACTGTTCCTTCGCCATGCGGCGCTCGGCATTAGAAGTTTAAGTCACGGGTCTTTCGGATATGATCTTAAAACGTAGGTCCTGTGTCACTGTAAGCGTTGGTA